AGTTACAAAATGGCCAAAATTGTAGTACCAAATTGCTTTTTTTCTTCTAAAAACAGATGCAAATGATTAAAAAAATGTTTTAAGTATTGAAAATTATTCTTTATACTATTCTATTCCATTAAATTAACTGTAACTTTGAGGCCGTGAGAAGACTGAATCCATGTAATAGGATCTTCCGGTGATTAATTAATTGCCTTCTGATGATCAGCTACAGGAAATGGTGTACTGGTAGCATAACTGTTATTGGTGTGGAAAGCAGAATTGGTAAGCTAACTTCAAGTTCTATCCGAGTTATGTTCACTTTGCACTAATGATCTTGGGAAATGCATGGATCCATCTGCTCTCTCCTGAGCTAGGAGTTAAGTAGTTTTGTAAACTAGACCATCTAGCCTTGGTTGGCAGCCAGTCTAGGGGAAGGATTATTCTGAATTTCAAACTGTGGGGAAGGTAATGGTAAGCAACTCCAGAAGCTTTTACAAATAAGGAAAAAGAATGTGAAGAACCTTGTTGCTCACATGTTCAGTCTATGGCATTCTTCTTCTCTGGGCTGTACCCCTTCAGGTCATTGATGATCATGGCTCTCCACAAGTTCCTCTCCTTTGTAGCCCTTAGTAAATTTTTTTCTTTTTGCTATATCTCTGAATCGCTGTTCTGCAAACCATTTACAAAAGTTAGCTAGGGCATGCACTGCTTTCCTTTGTCCCTCTTGCCTTCAATCTGTCCTGTGAGTATTAACTTTTCCAAGCCTTCTTTTCTCATTATGTGCCCTAGAAACTATCTATTTCTGATATTGAGTGTCCTTTTTGTTTCCATTTTCTCTAAAACTTTGTCATTGCTCACATGTTTTAGTCTATAGTATTCTCAGCATCCTTCTGTAGAACCACATTTCTGTTGCCTCTTGTCTGTATTGAGATGGTCAGACATTCACTGCCATATAGGAGAACTGATATTATATAACAGTTCAGTACTCTTTTCTTTATTTCCAATGAAATTTTCTTGTTTCTTAATACTTTGCTTAATTTTTGGAAGGCATCTTTGTCATCCCAGTATGCCTTTGGATTTTGCTATCAATGGTATTCATAGTATTCATCAATAGAACCATATCTCCTTCACTTCAGGTCTCTTTGTTTATGAGGAGATTATCCCACATTCAATGCTACATATGGGGATTAGATATTATATAGTAGTTCAGCATTCTTTTTTTTCCAAAGATCTTTTCTTATTTTCAATACTTTGTTTAGTTTCTGGAAGCCATCTTTGGCTGTACTTCTTAATTATGATGTCTCCAATCGCTCTCTCACCATTTTTATGACTACTACATATTCTGTCTTAAACTTAATAGTTAGTCCTTTGTTCTTGCTTTCCTTTACTACCTGTCTAAGAATCTGTAGAGGAAAAAGTGTGTGAAAAGTGAAGAAAAGAAATGATCTTCAAACACAGCTCTACAAATTTTAATAATTTTGTTACTGAATATAAAAGTAATTTTTGTTTTCTTTTAAGTTGAAAGAAACAAATTATAAAGTTCCTCAAAAAAAAAGTTTGTACAAAAATGTTTTGTTTTTCTTTTTACAACACAAAAGAAATGAATTTTGTTAGTATGGAATGAAAAAGTCTATGTGAATTCTTAATGAGAAAATTCATGATTTACATTATATTATCTATGTGATTCCAGCAACTGACTGATAACAACTGTTACTACTATTACGCTTTGTTTATTTATCTCATCTCACTGTAATTAAAACAGTGCAAACTGGTTTATGAAAATATTTTAAAAGCAAGAAGCAATTAATGAACTCAGAGTTTTATTGGTTAATAAACATATTTCCCAATTTCTAATTTTGATTTTTAGGTGAGAAAAGATTGTTAGTCATTTTTTATTTGTGAGTGTTCAATTTTTTAGCAAATGATAAAAATGGTCATCTGTTTTTTTGAAAGCTTGAATGATGTTTGAGATAATGTTGCTGATTGGTTAACAAATGCTAATGTTGGAATTTGAATTTGAAATTTGTGTGAGCCTATTCTTGCACAAAATTGAAGTGATGTGTGATTTTTACTTTTGCAGAGAATTGAGATTTAGTGACACTGCTTAAATCTATTTCCTTTCTGAATTTTCCATCAATAAAGTGTCATCTTTGTATATTATGTTAGGATCATGTCCACCAATACTGGTAGGTCTTCCTTTGGCCTATAACTGCATCCTGTTGAAACACTGGTTCTTGTCTGATCATTGAAGCAATGTCGAGCCTGATCAGTACCTAGATTTTTTTATTTTTACTAATGTTCACCCAATACAAGGCCCAAGAGCCACTCAAGGTAGAGGGTTACTGTGTAGAGTTATATTAGTGTAGGAAAGGACAAGACTGAGACAGACTTTAGTAGAACCTGGAAACCTAATCCTAAACAGTGAACAAGGGATAAATCTCTACTCCTGTTCAAAAACTAGGGAGGAGTGTGAACAGGGCAATAAGTGAACCTATTGGTGGAAGAATGAAAAAGAAATGGAATAAATAATGAATAAACATTCAAAGTTCAGGCACAGATGTTAGGAGTAAAGAGCTGAAGCAGACTTTAGAAGGAATTGGAAATTCGATCCTAAACAGGAAACAAGAGATAAACCTCCACTTCTGTTCAAAAAACTGTAGAGGAGGAAAAACAAAATGAAATAAATAGTGAATAAACTTTCAGAGTTCAGGCACAGACGTTAAGAGTACAAAGCTGAAGTAGGCTTTAGAAGGAACCAAAATCCATGTCCTAAACAGGAAACAAGGTATAAACATCTACTTTTGTTCAAAAGACAGGGGATGTGTGTGAACCAGATGATAGGTGAACATATCTACTCTTAATGGTGGAGGAGAGAAAAAAAAATGGTGAATAAAATTTCAGCGTTCAAGCACACGGAATAGTTCTGAATATATGCATTTGGGTAGAATTAGTTATGGAACTGACAATGTGACATTATTAAGTTTTAACTCTGTATAAGTTCAAATATCCTCAGCCAAATAAAATTGAGCAGGAATTAACATTATTTGAACTTCAAAAGAAAAAAAAAATGTCCAAGAAATATAATGAGATGTACATAGAAACAAACTCAAAATTTAGTCAGGCTGTTTAGGCTAGCAAAAGATGATTACAATTATATACAAAAATATACATTATTATTGAATATTTGACAAAACTCATCATGAAGAAAAAGTCCTTCAGTCTTGAAGTGAGCTTTTCTTTTTCATTATTCCACCCCCAAGCAAAGCAATAAAACCACAAAGACGCAAGGGGTTATGGAGTATGAAAGAATAAGAGGAAAAGAAAAACATTATTAAGGATGGATGACCGCTTTGGAATACCGGCTGCTGTCTGTGCATCTGGTGTAATGGATAATGGCTTGGATTTGGAAATTAGAGAGCTGAACTATTCCAGTTGGATTCATTATATTGACTTAACGCACAAATACCCTTGGGAAAGGTATGAATCCATCTTTTCTTCCTCCAGCTGTGGATTAATTAGGACTTGAAATCATTATTATCTCTAAAAAAAATTGTTACAGTCTAAAAATATTTTCTGTCTTTTAAAAAAAACCTGAAAAGGTTGATAACCCATAAAAAAATAAATCAATCAATATGGTTCCTTTAGGATTGTCCCACTGTATAGATATTTTTTAACCAATTAAAATTAAGGTTATTAATGCTTCAGAAATTTTGAAAAAATTATGAGACAAAATTTGTTTTAATTAAAACAATTGCCTTGATTCTATCCTTTTAATCAAACCTTTTTTTTTTTTTTTAATTATTTTAAAATGAAATGACTTTGAAAATTTTCTCTACTATATAAGGTAATTCTGCATTAAAAGTGGGCAGGGGAAGCAGGAGGGTAGGTGTTCATTCATTGTAGATATAAAATAGCTCAGTCCTTTTATTGGTTCAATCAAAAGCAAGATTACATCGTTGATGGTGTCTCCTTCTCTCTGACCTCATCTTACTGTAAAGAGGCATTCAACTTTGTTAAAGATATCCCAAATATTGATCTTTTCTCAATCATGTTGATCTAGAATCATTTTAATGAAGAACAACACTATGATAAAATTATTGATGCATGTTAGAGTAAATGAATTTCTATTATGTATAGATAATTGAAATGCATGCAAACATATGGACACATGGGGGAGAATATGATACATAACTTTCTATATATCACAACAATGTTATGCAAATCATAGCAGATTTTTTTCTTGCCACAATATGGAATACTTAAAAACAAAAGCAATAAAAACAAAAGTATAGGAAAACTGAATGAGATTGGCTAAACTATATGTTCAGATACATTTAAATAATAATAACAAAATAAAATTCAGTGTTTCCATATCTTAAGTATTTCTCTTTGATAATCTTTTGGATTGAACATTATTATAACCAACACTTGTGTTTTTACATCTCCCCTAATCAATAACAATATTACTTTATTCCGATGAAGACCTTCTAGAGGGCATAACATGTTACACAAAATTTTTTAAACTTTTGCCATTCATTTGCTGAATATGGACATATATTGTACAAATGAGTTCATGCCTTTTTTATTTTTAGATATCAAAAACAACTTAATGTATCAAAAACAACTTAATGTATCAAAAGATTTGGTAGCATTATCTCAGCAAATAACAACATTTGTAAAAGGATGATTAACATGTGATTTTTTTTGTCGAAGTGGAGTTGCTTGCCTGATTATTAATTATGAAAGGAAACCTAATTTGCAGGCATCATTAATTTGGTGCCTTGTTACAGAAATGTATAAGACTATTACTAAATTATTATCTTACCTAAACGTTGTGAATTTAATATTTTATGGAATGGTGCTGATAAATTCTTGGCCTAACCAAGAAGCCCTCCTCCACAAATTCTGATATTTGGTCAGATTTGGGGAATTTGCATTCAGCCCATTACAGAATTATTCTTTTTCATTACTTATAATTGTGTGTATATTCAGCCCACCTGGGGCAAATTATTCTGTAGACATTTTTGCCCTTTCTCTCTCTCTCTGTCTCTTGTTATTTGTCCCTTCTCTCTCTGTCTCTTGTTATTTGTCCCTTCTCTCTCTGTCTCTTGTTATTTGTCCCTTCTCTCTCTGTCTCTTGTTATTTGTCCCTTCTCTCTCTGTCTCTTGTTATTTGTCCCTTCTCTCTCTGTCTCTTGTTATTTGTCCCTTCTCTCTCTGTCTCTTGTTATTTGTCCCTTCTCTCTCTGTCTCTTGTTATTTGTCCCTTCTCTCTCTGTCTTGTTATTTGCCCTGTCTCTCTCTCTTGTTCTTTGTCCCATTCCCCTCTCTCTCTCTCTTGTTCTTTGTCCCATTTCTCTCTCTCTCTCTCTCTCTCTCTTGTTCTTTGTCCCATTCCTCTCTCTCTCTCTTGTTCTTTGTCCCATTCCTCTCTCTCTCTCTCTTGTTCTTTGTCCCATTCCTCTCTCTCTCTCTCTTGTTCTTTGTCCCATTCCTCTCTCTCTCTCTCTCTCTTGTTCTTTGTCCCATTCCTCTCTCTCTCTTGTTCTTTGTCCCATTCCTCTCTCTCTCTCTTGTTCTTTGTCCCATTCCTCTCTCTCTCTCTTGTTCTTTGTCCCATTCCTCTCTCTCTTGTTCTTTGTCCCATTCCTCTCTCTCTCTCTTGTTCTTTGTCCCATTCCTCTCTCTCTTGTTCTTTGTCCCATTCCTCTCTCTCTTGTTCTTTGTCCCATTCCTCTCTCTCTCTTGTTCTTTGTCCCATTCCTCTCTCTCTCTCTTGTTCTTTGTCCCATTCTCTCTCTCTCTCTTGTTCTTTGTCCCATTCCTCTCTCTCTTCTTTCTTTGTCCCATTCCTCTCTCTCTCTCTTGTTCTTTGTCCCATTCCTCTCTCTCTCTCTTGTTCTTTGTCCCATTCCTCTCTCTCTCTCTTGTTCTTTGTCCCATTCTCTCTCTCTCTCTTGTTCTTTGTCCCATTCCTCTCTCTCTCTCTCTCTTGTTCTTTGTCCCATTTCTCTCTCTCTCTCTTGTTCTTTGTCATTCCTCTCTCTCTCTCGTTCTTTGTCCTTCTCTCTCTCTCTCGTTCTTTGTCCCTTTCTCTCTCTCTCTCGTTCTTTGTCCCTTCTCTCTCTCTCTCTCGTTCTTTGTCCCTTTTCTCTCTCTCTCTCGTTCTTTGTCCCTTTTCTCTCTCTCTCGTTCTTTGTCCCTTTTCTCTCTCTCTCGTTCTTTGTCCCTTTTCTCTCTCTCTCGTTCTTTGTCCCTTTTCTCCCTCTCTCGTTCTTTGTCCCTTTTCTCTCTCTTTCTCTCTCGCTTTCTCTTTGTCCATTTTCTCTCTCTCTCGTTCTTTGTCCCTTTTCTCTCTCTGTCTCTCGTTCTTTGTCCCTTTTCTCTCTCGCTCGTTCTTTGTCTCTTCTCTCTTGTTCTTTGTCCCTTTTCTCACTCTCTCTTGCTCTTTGTCCCTTTCCTCTCTCTCTCTTGTTCTTTTCTCTCTCTCTCTCTATTTTTATTTGTCTCTCTCTCTATTTTTATTTGTCTCTCTTTCTCTGTCCCTCTCTTTCTTGTTTATTGTTCCTCTTTCTCTCTTGCTCTCTGACCCTCTCTCTTGTTCTCTGTCCTCTTTCTCATGTTCCTTGGTTTCTTTTCCTTATTCTCTGTCCTTTCTACCTCTTCCTTGTTCTCTATGTTTATCTCTCTCTCCTTCTACTCTACCCTCTATTTACCATTTAGACAAGAAAAAAAAAGCAAAGACTGACCAATTTATTCATTATATAGTCGAGATGAAAAATCACTCACTTGTGACTAGATGATATTGAACTTGAAGATACGCACTTTTCTCTCTCTTATAAAATAACAAATTAAATAATAATACTTAATGCATTTGAATTACTATTTATATAGAAGATTCCCAATTTGTCTGACTTTTGTATTTCTTTAATAAGTTAGGTGCTATGGTTATTTTTGAGCTCTCAACTGTGTTTTTTTTTATTACTTGTAAATATATGTTAAACAAATTCTATTTTTTTTTATCATAACACAAAAAAGCATGACTAAATTCTCTCTTAAGAAAATATAATTCCCACCTCACTCCCCAAAAAGGGAAGAGATTTAAGAAACAAAAGAAAATAATGTTTTTTTTTAAATGCATATTATGGATTTTATAAGTACATGAGAATGTTTATTGCTTTTCTCTTTCTGTTGGCCATATTCAGCAACTCTAGATCCTGCTTCTGTTTGGCCTCATGTACTTACCACACCCATCCGAAGCACTTAAATAGCTTCCAAGGCAGACATTTATGAACTGTTTTGATTAGTATTTTCCTTCCTTTAGCTGAAAGAGTTGCTGGTTAAATTATGTGCATTCCACTTAATGTATCAAAAGATTTGGTAGCATTATCTCAGCAAATAAAGCAAGCAGAGACATTAATATTTATGCAGCCAACAGCAGTTCATTTGTCCTCAGTTTTTACTTATATATTACTTATCCCTTTTCTCTCTCTCTCTCTCATCCGAGGGCGTATTGGGATTGTCAAGGAAGCATTCTAAAAGCTAAGAAGAGTACTGAGAAATAGGAAAATTTCACTAGAAACAAGGAAAAGAGTACTAAACTGCTATGTAATATCTGTCCTCTTGTATGTCAATGAGTACTGGATGATCTCCTCAAAGATGAAGAGGAGACTTGAAGCAACAGAAATGTAGTTCTACTGAAGGATGCTGAGGATACTGTGGACTGAAAATGTGAGTAACAACAAAGTTTTGGAAACAAAAAGGAAACTAATACTTAACATCAGGAAGAGACAGTTGAGGTTTCTAAGGCACATAATGAGGAAAGAGGGCTTGGAAAATCTGATACTCACAAGACAGATATAGGACAAGAGGGACAGAAGAAAACAACATATGACATACTTAATGAGCTTCACTAAATGGATGGCAGAACAAGGTTTAGGAGAAATAACAGAAAGAGAAGGTTTATTTAGAGCTACAAGGGATAGGAAATTGTGGAGAGCCATGATCACCTATGTCCAGAGGGGACATGGCACATAAAGAATTATCCTTTCATCTCTCTCTCTGAACAATTTACCTTTTATGAATTGGAAATTATTTGAATTAATTTGCAACAGTGAAATGTTTGGTGAATGCCATTATCATCATCCTCCTCCTATAATTGTCCTTGTCTCTAACTTCGTTAGTTAGCATGACCTGTCAATACCTCATAATGCACTATTCTGTGTCTTGATCATGTGGAAAAAGAGGAAAAGACATTGCTTGGTTTCAGTGAGAAAAAGAAAGGGGATAGGGGTGGAGAGAGAGAGAGAGAAAATCAGATTTAGCTGATAAGAACAGATACTACACTTTGATCTCAGCCAAAAGGCTGAGAATTGATGATGACTGCAATAAAAGCATAATTTTTCAAATACACAGTATCAAGTGACGGAAAATTATTAAGGCATTGAAGGCAATCGCCAAAAATCCAATTACCATAAATTAAATAAAATAACATTGTCAGCTGCATTATTTTTGAATTATTATTAAGAGAAACATTTGTAAGATGGGAATTTGGTTAGAAAGTGAAGGTTATAGTGTTTAACATCTCCTGTCAATACCCCATAAATAATGGACTATTCTGTTTCAATCTCGTGGAAAGTGGGGAAAAGACACTACTTGGTTTCAGTGAGAAAATGAAAGAAAGAAGGGAAGATTGTGTTTAATGACTGTTTCAGTGAAATGGAAAAAGTTGTCAATTTCAAATCGTTTCTAACCATTTCTTAAAATAATGACCAGCCTTCACATTTATGATTGTTATTACAATATCTTCTTAAAGTTGTTAAGCGCAAATATTTAACGATGTGATAGGAGAATTTCTACAGATATCTTATTATTGTAAAACTCGCCATGAGCTTACTCAATCATTAACTGAAGAATTAAGATTCATCAGAAATTTTAAATAGGAAAATCGTCAAATTTTCATGCTACTTTAGTTTATTATTATTATTTTTCAATACAATTGTTCACCCAATACAAGTCCTGTGAGCCCCTTAAGGCAGGGGGTTACTTAATGAAGTTGATGTAAATGGAGGAAGTAAGACATGCATATTATGAGGATATGTAGGATAGATAATGGTTAACCCTAGAGTTGCAGAGATTAAGATTGTAGTGATCAAGGAAGCATCTTTCAATGGGTTTGTTCTACAAAATGATAGTTTTTAGGAAGAAGCTATTTGAGTGGAACTTCTTCCTTACCAATGGAATATGAAGGGAATGAGGATGAGTTGACTGCGTATGCAGCATGGCAGGTTCTAGCTGTGAAGGTATGGATGACTGGAACTAAGAAATATAGTTCATCTGAACATTTGCATGGAAATAGCAATAGAATAGCAATGTTTCATAATATTTCCTTTTTTTTTTTTTGTACGAAGAAGCATTTCTCGCAGTTTGATCATTATTTCAAATTTTCATCATTAGTTGGTTATTTTGTTCTTGACTGGATCAGTTTTATGAATTTCTGGAATGAGGAGATATCATTATATATATTATTTACATGCAGCCCATTGTCTTCATCTTTGTTGTTGTTGACACACTTTAGCTGTTGTACCCTCCAATCTTTACCAGGCGCTTATCAATCTGGGTAAACTTGTGCTATTGGAAAAAAAAGTGTTCAATTTTCAGTGAAAACATGCTGCTAAACTAGACCCTGATTTTGTGCTCGACATGAGCATTGAATGTTCAATTCTCAATGAAATCATACTGCTAAACTGGATCCTAACTTTGTACCCAACATGAGCATTGAATGTTCAGTTTGCATTGTAAACATACTGCCTAAACTGGACCCTATCTTTTCTGGACATGGACATTGAATTTCTGTCTCAATTTCTGAGATGAGAAATATTATTTACTGGTGAGCCATTGTCCTCATCTTTGTTATTGACACAATGTTTTGGTCATTGTGCTCTCTACTGTTCACCAGAGGCTTGTCGAATCTGACTAACCTTTTAGGAATTTTGAAAGGAAACCTTTTGGCTCTATGGGAGTAGTTTTTTTTTTCTTTTTTCTTCCACTATGTCTAGAGTTATCTGCATTGTTCTTTTTATGATTGTTCTGTTATTTCTCACCCCATTTCTACCCGAGGCCAACTCGTACTTGTGGATAATATTATCAAATTGCTGTGAACTTGTTAGTTTTCTTCTTGTCCACATATTTTTGTCTGCTCAATAGCAGTTCCAAAATTTTCTTTGCTTTTATTGCTACTTTTTTTTATTTGATTCTTTTGGGTTGTTGTCTGTAAGGATAAACCTGTCTGCTCAGATGAATGAGGAATGTTTAACACGTTGGCAAATGTGAAAAGAATTCTTTTTGAAAAGATGAACATGATAATTTTGTTTTCTTTTGTTGTATAAACAGATTCTTTTAATACTGTAGGCTTCATTGTTCCTGGAACTTGTGGAAAAGCCTCACAGCATCTTATTGTCTGTTACTTTCTTCCTGTCCATCTTCGACAGGTGAAAAGATATCCTTGAAAATATAAAACCTGAAAATGACTTCAGGCTGGGTACGCAATCAAGGCAGACATTCTGGGTATATGTGAAAATAGGGAAGGAGGAAATGTTAGGATTGCAGGAAAAAATATGCCTTCCTAAAAATGTGTTAATGAATGTGTAAGTATACAAATATGCACATTGGTAGGAAAATTGTGTAAGTATAAATATTTGTACTGAGTAAATGTATATTTACATGTTTTTTATATATATATATATATATATATATATATATATATACACATACATAAAACAGAGAGGATAAAATGATATATACATTTTTATATATCAAAAGTCTGCCATTATTTTTCAATTTTAAAAAATGCTACTTTAATTAAAAGAGAAAGAAATTTATTAAGAAAAATGTGTATAGAAAGTGCATTAATCATCAGATCATCTGCAGTAAATTTGCGTCCAGATTCTTACAACGTTTCATCTTTCTTGGTAGATCTTGAGATACTTAATAATAAAAGTTATAAAAATATAAACAAAAAGAAACTAAATAAAATTGGCTCGACTATATAACCAAACACATAAAATTAAGTTTAAAATTTTAGCATCACCTCTCCTTCATGCACATGTGAAGTTACACCAGTATAAAAATCTCTTTAGTATCTGTCTATATTTCTGAGATGAGGTATTATGTACATTATTTGGAATATTTCCTCATCTAATAAATATGGCAACAAAGATGAGGACAATAGTCTGAATAATGTAAATAAAAATCTCTTTATTTTGATGATTTCCTAATGGACAAAATGTGTTACACAAAATATTTTCTGAGTTGCCGTACCTTCATAATAACCATTAGACACTTCCAACTCTTTCTGCACTGTCCTCAGATTGACACCCAAACACCTGTGAAATGGTTTGTATTGGAGCTTCTGGCACCAATGGCAACCAGTAAAGTATGCCGTTTCCAAATTTCTGTCAGAGTGAATTGCATCATGGTACTCTTTTCTTCACAGAATCTCTCTTCTCCATCTAAATTCAGCTGCCCATTCTTGCACTGTAAGTAATTTAGGCAGACACTCTCACTGTATATAAAAAGCAAGTGAACAGTATAGCTGAGCATAAAGCTAGCAATGACACTAGTAAACATGATTAAAGTAATAGAAAGAGGAAAACATTTAAGAAAATGCAAGCTACCACTGTTATATTCTTAAATGTAAATTTTGCAAATTCAACTAGCACACTTGTACCAGACATACTGAATGTACTCAACACATATATAAAAAAAAAAAGCCAAAACGTGAGGTAATATTAAAGCCTGCAATTGTGAACATTGAAAGATTAAATTAGTTGACAGGAAGTTTCAATTTTACATACAAGTTGCAGAGTCATTAATTATTTTTGTTAGCTATTCTTTGGTGAAAAAAAATGGGCGTCCTATGTTCCATCAATTACTTTGTGTAAGTATGTACATCTGACTAATAGCAAGGTCTCTTTCTACATTCGATGGTAAATCATCCAACTCCACAATAAGGTCGTATTGTGATATACTTTTAATAGCAGCCTCGTCCACAATTGATGGGTTGAAGAGCAGATTGATAAAGTGTTCCTGCCAGTTTCCTAGAGAGTCCTTAATTAACGTAGAACCATGTTTAAATTTGACTGAAACAACAGAGGCTGAATGTTTTATAGGAATGAAGTGACATTGCCGACACTTGAGTTTGAACATAGATTACCAGTGAGCAAACACAGGCAGTCCCATTATTGAATTATGTGGATCACGTGACCATAGAGGAAACGCATATATAGAAAGTTGCATGACATCTAAATGATCACTATACTATTTCTCTATTCAGATCACTATATGGGTTACTTGTCGAGCGAGTATTATCAGGCAAGTACTACTAGCACAGGTGCTATTTGAAGGCAACTGACACCAGTATTGTTCAACAGTGTACTATAGCTGCATCTGCGATTACAAAGTCTCTACTACAATGAGCATAAGAAAGTGACAAGGAGTATTCGTTGACATCCCAAAAGTGGCAACAAGTGTTTGTTGACATCACAAAACTGAAGATAGACCAAAGACAGTTCTTAACAAGCAGAAAAGTCACCTTGAGTTGTGCCGAACAGCCACATCTTGAACTTCCGCCGAGTTGTTACTTGTTTTATGGTGAGCCCGCTGCTGGTGGATGTCCAAAGCATAAGCCAAGGAAGAGGTTCAAGGATTGTGTGAAAAACAAGGAGATCAGTTTGGATGTTGAGATTTGAGAGGAGATAGTGGAGAGCTGTTGCAGAGAATTGTGTGATATTTGAAGTAAAGAACTTGGCACATGCAGAATTTAAACAAGATCTGCAGATTGTCATTGTGAATGGCATGGATATTAACATAGTTGGCTGGAAATGTGAGAGATGTGATCGTATTCTACTGTCTGAAGATAGATACGTTAATCATCTGGAATCATATGAAAGCCAGCCTTCCCATGCAGTGCCACATTGCCGACCAGGTGATTTGTGTGATTTGCAGCAAGGTATGTAAATCTACGGCTGGATTGAAGAGACACATGGTAGTGCATAAGGAATAGATATCACAGCAAGATCTGATTAATCCTATGAAGACACTAGAGTTTAGCTGTCATCTATGTTTCAAGCTATGCAAGTCAGCTGCTGGTTTGAAGAGTCACCGTCATAGCCATTCAAGAATGGCCAGCGATGAGCAGGGGAAGATGAAGCAATCAAGATCATATAAGTTTCATTAAAAACAACTGACAAGGGACTGCGATAAAGTTTTTACTTAATTTTTCTTGTTTACTTATAATTTTCTTAACTGCAGAACCTGGCAAGTTGTTTTTATGAAACTTGTATAAAAGAGGGATTGTTGCCCAAATACACAATTTTTTTATATATATATATATATATATATATATATATATGATGGCTGGCCACTTATATCTCAGGGTGCCCGTCTACTAGGGTGGCTAGCTAATCCCCATTGCAGATGCCTGTTCAGGCACATTTTGTATTTGTTCAACATACACAGAGCTCACTTGTGGTTTATACTGCAACTATGCTGAGCAGACCTTAGTTACAGTTTCTCGGATAGAGTGTGTTATCTAGTGTGAAGAGTCTGAACAAGGCCAACATGCTCAAACTCTTGGTCACAATGTCTTGTTACTTTGTGCTAGCACAGCTATTGACGGCAACCAAGGGTTCGGTCTACCCAGTTTCATTCACAAGGCTTGGGACAACCCATGTTATGGTTTCAGGCACTTTCAAAAGGTGTTGCACGCATGGTCAGAAAGTTAATGTTCTAACCATTTGGCAACATGTGTGTGTGTGTGTGTGTATGTTTTGAGATATACAGGGTGCAATGGATAAGTTGTCATCTAAATTATGCAAAAATAACACTGACATCTTATTTTAACAGATATATTTACCAAATTACACAAAAATATCTTGACATTCTAAAGAGTAAAGTTATTCAATAAAATCGTCATTGGCTTCAACCACAGCCTCCAGTTTACTTTGGAATCTCCTGCAACTCTTCTGGACTGTCTCCTTGTTTAAGTTGATGAATGCTGCTATAATCCTTGCCTTCACTTTGGTTTTACAAAGAGTTTTGTTGGTTTTCTTGCTAAACTGTGCTCCACACATAATAATCAAGGGTGCTGTTGTTTGGGGAGTTAAGTGGCCAGATGTAAGGGGTGATGTGATCGCAGAAATTGTCTGACAGCCATGACTGAGTTCTCCTGCTTGTGGGGCATGGTGCAGAGGCCTATTGCCAGACATAGTCTTCCAGCAGCCATCCTCTTGACCCAGAGCTGCACTAGCCCCTCAAGGCACAATTTAGGCTTCTGTGTTGAGTCTGAGGCCCTATGGGAAGATGAATGGTGGTATAATGTCACTATCACTATTGTTCAATAAAAACACCTTTGTAATCACCATTAGACTCATCCAACTCTTTCTAAATGCTCTGCACTGTCCTCAGATTGATACCCAAACACTCTGAAAAGTGTGTATTGAAGCTTCCAGCATTGATTGCAAAGCAGTAGAGTATGCTGTTTCCAAATTTATGGCATAGTGTGTTACATCATGTTCCTCTTTTTCTCTCAGATGGTGCCCAACTGATCCTCCTATATTGTGCAGTTGACAAAATCAAAAACAAACAATGCATATGAGTGAAATTAAAAATATAAAATGGTGGCAATTTATGCATCACACCCTGTATATAGGTTTGGTTCAAAAGTTTCAGTTTATTAACTAAATTTTCTATTTAATAATACTTTTTTGGTCAATTCAATATATATGTTTTATTGAATGTGGCAGACAAAGAAAATTTTGTAAGTTTTACTCAGTTTTACTAGTGTTCTTTATATAGTGATTGTTGTCCTGAGCATCTATGACTAATACTTCATACATTTTCATGTTGAGTCAAGGGGAGGGTCAATGTTAGCAAATCTGTTTTGTTTTCTATACTCTGTTTTGTGTACACTATAGTAATTCACATTGGAGTTTTTGTTTCATATTCAAAACACAGTCAACATGATTTGAACAGTTTCAAAGCAAATTATGTTCTGTGTGTGTATATATATATATATATATATATATATATATATATATATACACATACATACATATACACACACACAACACAGCTATGTATATGCTTTTATGCAAATATGTGTATTTGTAAATGAACGTGGAAGCTGGTGTGTGGTTTTTGATAGTTTCTAAACCAGCCTCCCTCAACCTTAACCCTACCTTGGTGGAATTCATTCCATTACAATAAGTCAGAGAGAAAAAAAGAAAAACCAAAAGGAAAGGCATTTCCTCCTTTTTTTTGTTAAGGAGAATACGGAAAGGAAATCCCTTGAAGTGTCTTGAGAAAAGCCAAGCACAAACAATGTGAATTCAAATTAACTTGACTCATGTGATTTCTGCTTTGTACACAGGGTCCTGACTATCAGTGTTTGCAAAGGTTGTTTAGTATGGAAATGGTTTCAAATTGATAATAAAATTGTTGTAAGTGGACACCTGTTGAAAGACAGGTGTCCACTCACGTCAGAAACATATTTTGTACAATGAGTATGCTGTATTAAGGACTAAATACATGTCTAATGATTAATCTAAAATATTAGGTGGAGTTATTAATAATTTCCGTTTTTGTGTTTATTCTTCAAAAAAATAAAGTACAATTATATTTTGATTATATATTCACCATTATTTGCAATGTCTTGTTGCCGCTTATCAGATAGCCATTTGATACTATTTCAGTAAGATTTTGCAGGGTTTGGTGTGAAAAAGTTTTGAGAACTTTCAGATTGTTTTTTTTATTACAGAAAACTTTCCCCATCAAATCTTTTTGCAGCAATCAGAAAAGGTAACAATTAGTTGATGCCAGATCATTTAAAAATGGTAGGTGAGGTAGAACAGATGACACAAATTCTCAGATTTTTTTTTCCCAGTGTTAGTCTTGCTGTATGTGGCCTTGCATTCTCATAGAAGAGAACAATATATTCTTATTGACGAGCAGCAGGGGTAGCTTTCCAACTAAATTTTTCTAGACACATTGCTGCTAAGGAACATATAAATATGTATTTACTGTTTCATTGACTTTTAAGAATTCTGGCTTATGGCCACATCATGTTGAAACATTGGTTCCCATATGATCACCGAAGTTGAGCAACGTCGAGACTGGTCAGTACCTAGATGGGTGACTGCAAGGAAATACATTTTTTGTCCTTTTTGCTAAGAGCAGTGAGGGAGTCAAGTGTATACAGTAATAGTGGTGTCAATGGAATAACCGTCATTTTAATATACCATTTTGATATTGTCCATTCGTCATTACAAATGGTTTCCAAGAATGAAAATTGCTTATGACTCAGCCTAATAGTTGACATTATTTTTTGTCTTTTGCATTTTTCTCTCTCCAGAGAAGCAACTATCTTCAGTAAGATTCTTTATTTGCATTCTTTTTTTCAGGTAAAATTGCTCCATCCAAAGCCATTATTATCGGAGATTGAACCACACACTCTTTATCATCAAGTGATAGATTGCATTCATGAATGTATTAAAGGTAAGAAATGTTTGTTTTCTATTTTGCTTAATGGCTGTTGGAAGAGAAGCCATTTTAGAACTTTATAGAAAGTTGCTATATTTTTTTTTTAATACTGAAGTTCACTCAAAACAAGGCTTGAAAGGCACATAATGTAGAGAGTTACTGAGTGAGGTATGTCATTGATATGAATATAGAAGTGGTAGATACTGAAGATAGATAACAACTGATGTTTGACTTGAAGTGGTTAAGATTGTAATGTCCAGAGAAGCATTTATGTGGAAGTTTGTTCCACAAAATAGCAGTTTTTGAGGGAAAAGCTATCTGAGTGGAACTTTCTCTTGACAAGTGGAAATCAACAATGAGTGCATGGTACTTTCACATACTGACACAACTACACTACATCTTTACCTATTATGTTATCTATACAGTATTTTTGTGTGTATAATATGACTCTATGCTTTTAAAGCTAAAAACAGTGAATAAATTACATCCTTGAGTATAATCCAACACTGTAGTACAGCCATTCCTATGCAAATATCTTTTGAAAAGTACCAAATTGGCCATTGTTTCAAAAACTTATTTTTGAATTTTTGGGGAAAGGTGCTAACCATACCCACCCCAGTAATACATTTTCGGGTGTTAATTAATCTATCATACTTTTTGTTTGATATGAATATTATATTTATATATTATTATTTTATATTAATAAACTATGAAAATAAATGTCTTTCATCAAGAATGAAGAAAGAAACAAATATTGTCGGGACATATCAAATACCTTTTGTAAACAATTATCATCAACATCTGTCTACTTTGTGGCTTATTATCTATTGGGCTGAGTGTTTTTACAATCTTGCTGCTTCAAATAAGAGTTTTTTTTTAAGCTGAGTAAACATTTTTGAAAATGTGTACAATGTGTATACAATTCCCTTCTTTGTTTTTAATTTATGTTCAAAACTTTTCATGTTTTGCACAATAAAGATGATGATACATCATCTGGCTGAATTTCTAGAAGTGTACTACTTTCTCTGATATTTTGGCACTTCAGTGTGATTACTTTTATGTTAACATGTAAGATTTGTATTTTTTTATTTTTGTTTTTGTATCAAAATACCTTTTATTTTATTTGATCTAATCAAGGCGATACTTAGAATAGGTTATAGGCATTACTTTGGATCTTATTGAGGTTATACTTAGAATAAGTTATAGATATCACCTTGGATCTCATGCAAATAATTATATTCACTGGCTTAAGAATGAGTTGAATGTAACTCTAAAAGTAATGATGCTGTTATAAATAAATTAGTATTGAAATGACTCTCCAGTGAACCCTTCAGTATGTCTTTATTGGCAATTTTTTGTGTCTGCTCATTTGCATCTCCCTCATCACTTAATGTATTCGTCTATGTACAAATGACACAAAGTGACAAGTTCTCATACCATTGTGATATGTCTAGAATAAGAATAAATGTCAACATGTCTTGACTAATTTTTTGAACTCCCCAGAATCACCATAGATTGCCTGCCAATAGAATAATTAGATCTGACCATTTTAGAGCAATATGCATCATTGTATGTATATATGTATGTGTGAAAATTTCGTAGATTTGTATTTAAAGATTTGGGACAGATTTGTGGGATGGAGTCTGAAAGTAATGCAATTTTGGTTATATTCTTCAGTTTGACAATTTAGGCAGCTATGTTTTCCTTGTCAGATTGAAATCAGTTAATAGTTGCAAACATTTTACCCACCTACGCACCTAAATTATTTTATTGAGAGTTAGCATTTAATAAATATTTAATTTTATTCTTTATTTTATTCAGATTTAGCATTTAATAAAAATACTCTTTGACAATTGACAAAAACACAAGCACAAAAGAAATAAGCCCCTAATCATTTCACAATGCCTCATGCTCCAGGTACAAGGTAAAGGTCATATATATCTTTGGCTAATCTGAAGGTGAAATAGACCAGTGTCAGATAGCATAAAAATTGAAAGCCTACTTGTGATCCTGAAGTGTCTAATTTTAGAATTCACTGAACAAGCAAAACCACTGTGCCTTATTCAAGATGAATTTGGTTGTCAGAAAAGTATTTTCATCTAAAGGGCTTATTATGGTAGAGCAGGCAGATGAAAGCCACTTCTAAAATCCGACTATATTCATCAGGAGGTAATTGAGATGATGAACAGACCATTAAAGATTTGGCAGTATTACCTTTTCAGATAAATCCTTATTTGCTCAGTTTTTGAACTAAAGATGATGAGTGTGTAGATTGTTGAGCAAAATACTGTTTGAACCACCTACAGCCCACCATAAAGCATGGTGGATTTTTGGTGATGGTGTGGGGAGCAACTTAAAGCAATGGTTATTCAAAGGTTTTGAAACGTATAAAGAGCATGAAATCAGAAAACATATTCTACCTGAGTGGATGATGATTCTGTAGAAGAATGCAACAGTCTTTGCATGAAGTTCCATACCATACAGTATAAAATCTCCTCAAAAATGGCAGGTTCAAGAAAGTATTAAGTTATTCTTTTTGGCTAAATCACTCTTCTAAAATGCATCTTTTGGATTGTAAAAGAATGAAAATATCTTCTTTTATTAAAAGATTTCCTTAACGTTTTCAAATCAGTTTGATCAAATATCCCAGTAGAGGAGATAGCAGATCTGTTAAATTTAATACTTGAAAAAAAGCATTAGAATCTGCTAATCACCATGCAAGCCGTTTTGACTTGAAGGTAAACTGCAGATCAATGTGATTTGTCATTTTCACTATAGCTGCTTGTAGCTGCCAAGCATGCCCATCTACTCAAGTATGTCTGTGTTTCTTCAAAAATCACAGAACTAACCTTTTGGTTTATACCACAATTATTTTGAGTTTAAGTCTGTACCTCACCAAGGCCACACATGTTTTTGAATTCAAAGTCATCCTTCTCCTAGAATGGTTGCTACCCATGGCTAAAGAGCCCAGTCTGCCTTTTACTATTTAATTGCTGGGTGAAGTGGAGAAGAGATGAATTCATATCTTTCTCAAGAGTATTTGTACAAAAGTGAATGAACTTGGCCAGAATTTGAACTCGACTTTCCAATTTTTCATTCCCAGCCATTAATCATTACATCACCTGCACATCCAACAGGCTACTAGCAAGTTTTAATTCTAATTTGTATAATATTCTTTAAATTGATGAATAAAAGCTCTTGCTTAGAAAAAAAAACATCTATTTATACACACATTATATTAATTTTTATTGACAAGCATTTATTTATACATTCGATCATGAATTTCTGAAGCCCTTGGGGCACAACATCTATTGAAGCTGCAGAAGAAGTGGTGTTTCCTGGGCAAGACAGCCTGATGGAGCCCAACCCTCTCCAGGCTAGTTTGAATTCCGTTTTCCTTTTCTTAGACTAGTTGCCAACCAAGTCTATAGGGACCAATCTTTCCTGCTATTTACACATAGCTAGGGGAGGAAGAGATGGATTCATGCCTTTCCCAAGGGTATTAGCATGTAAGTGAATGTAATGAACTTGACTGGAAATTGAACTCTGCTCCCAGATTCCTTAATCTGTGCCACTATCCATTAAATTACATTCTAATTTATACATTAGGAAAATGTAAAATATTTTGCATCCAGTTTGAGGATTACTATTAGAACAATTTTGAATATTGTCTTTCTTACCATTGTCTCTTCTCATGTATTTGGGGCATGTGGTCTGCTTGCAAAATGCTCTGTCTGTCTGTCTGTCTCTGGAATCTTTGTGATCATTACTTTGTGCAAATTGAAGAGAAAGAGCTTAACAAGAAAGAATAACTAAAACGTTTCAATGTAGATTGACTGCCATTTTAATTTTCTGTGCAATTTATCTAATCCAAAATGTCCTATTCTCTACAAGCATTTATTCTTTTCATGCTCACTTTTTGCATGGGCCATCTGTCGATCTTTCCAATGGTTTAGAAATTTTCACTCAAAATATTTTCTTTTCTTTTGTTCTTTTCCCCCTTTCTCTTTTATTTTCATTATTATTTGAATTTTTTTTTCTTATTGCCTCATTATTCTTCACCTTTCTTTTTTTACCATCTTCCTTATTCACTCTCAGTTTTTTCTTCCTCTTTTATTGTCATCTTTCTCTTTTTACCATTCCTCTCTTTTAGGCCCTTCTTTTCTTTTTGTCATTAATTTCTTAATTCAACCATTCTCACAAAAATTATTTCTACTTATTTCTTAAATCTCTCAATACCCTAATAGTCCTGGGTATAATGATAAACTACATCTGGGAGCAAGGAGATTGGAGGTTTTGAAGTGTGAAATTACCTCTTAATTGCTGTTGTTCCCAGGTCCACCCTGACCCAGAATAGTAGCACCTGATAGCAGCCTAGCTATGAGAAAATAGTGAACCCCCCCTCAAACGAAGATCAATTCACTAGGAAATTATAAAAATACCTTTTTATAGTATAATTGCCAATACATTTTTATAGTAAAATGACCAGCAATACATTTTATAGTACAACTGAAGACATGGCATACATTGTCAAAAAAAAACCAATTTGGTATCATTACTCACATTGCCTGTAAGGAGTAAGAAGTTTTCACTCCTCGTTTGATTTTGTAAGATTATTTGGCAACAAAAAAAAGCAGTTGAGTAATTATAAATTTTATCATGAAATAATGTCATTCTCTTGAACTGGTTATAAATTTGAATTTTCAAATTTAGATTTTGGCATTAAATAGCCCATATGGGATGATATGTCGCTGAACAAAAACAACCTAAAAAGACCCAATTTTGATACTTTAAAATCTCCCCTCTTTCTCTTCAGTATTATTTTTAGTAGGGCACCTCGTCAGAGTATAATGGTTAAGAATCTCTTCCTGCAAATCATTATCACTGAGTTTGAACCTCACTAGGTGCTTGTGGCCTTGTGTCATATCTAAGCTTAGCTTAGTAAATAAATCTCACTCTTTATACTTCCATATATTTTTTATATTTTCTAAATGCTCAGTCATCAGCAATTCTTA